ATGAAAACATAATCAAATGCACTGTTGTAGTTTCCAAAGATACAAGACAGGAAATGCACATTTTATCTTCCAGACAACTATACAAAACAAAAGAAACTGCTTTCCACATTTCACAGATATGGGTTTGTAAAACAAATTTTAGTGGCTAAATATCTGTCAAGTTAAATACATAGTTTTTAAATGTTTAATCCATGGTATAGCATTATGGGGTTCGTTCCAAACAAGTAAAAAACCAGAGACATTACATATAACATACTATGGTATTTCTTTATCTAACCTTCCACCCCTTTACAAATGTTAAGCACCAACACAAAGTGTTTCCCAGTATTAAAAATGGTTACTCATCCATCTCCATGAATTAAAAACAGAAAGAAATCCTCCCTAAGTATTAATATATGTTTCTGCATTGTTCAGAACTGCTTTCAGTTTCTAAGGCTGCAATCCTAAACACACTGAGATACCCCACTGAACACAGCTAGATTTGCTTTTACAATCAGACACATAAGATTGAGCTTTACTAACATAATTCTAGGCAGAGTTACATTAAAATAAGCCTCAATGAACTCCAAAGGGCTTACTTCCAAGGAAACATGTTTATGATAGGCCTATAAAGGAAGTACATTTGCCTGATAAGCTGCGATGTGTCAAGAATAGTTCAAATGGTACTACCCCCCCCTTACACACACACACACACACACAGAGCCGTCCAAGAATGTCAGTATCAGACATATCTGGACAAAAGTACAACCAGCCTATAAAGGACACACAACCGCACTAGATATCAGATGCTCTGTGTACAAAAAAGATATACAATCAGTATTACTTAGAAGTCTTCATAATATATGTGTAGTGGAATTGCACATAATACCACAGCATATTTTAAGTAGTGAATGTAACTTATATATAATATACCTAATGATTACTGCTACAACTGCAGATCAAGTAAACATCAGTTGATTATCAACTGCCTTTTAACCAGTTCACCAACTCAAAAAAGAAAATTAAATATATTAAAAGATTACCAAAAGTTTAGTCTGTCATTCTGAAATACTAGAGGAACTGAAAGCGAAATTCAAATGTAACAATCTCCTTCTACTTTTTGTAGAGCAACTTGTTCCTTGACAGCAACAACCTACAATTGAAATAGCCTAGCTATGCCATCTTATGCATGCCTACTCAGATGCAAGTCCCGCTGATTTCAATGGGGTGCACAACTGCATAAATGTGCATAGGACTGCAGCCTAAGAAATATTTAAATATGCCCTTAGCACCTCTCAGCCCCAGTGATAAAAATGACTCCTGAAGCCTGATCAACTAAACCCTCATCAATTCATATACCAGTCAAAGCTCACTGACCCAATTATTATGCATCTACAAATAATAACTGCACACAATGTATAATTCAGGACAGTACTTGGCACACAAGCAGCACTGTCTATCTCCAAACGTATGCAAAGGCCACATAATATGCATTCATAATGTTATCTGGGTGCATTCGGTATTTAACTCAAGTCAAAGGCAAACATTTTCCATTTGTTTTAATAACTGCAGTGTGCAAACTTTATATTACGTACCAAGCAGCATGAGATATACAACAGTACTGCAGACTCCAAAATCTAAATTACACAGCAGTATTTGCACAAGATTATATAAAATTTGCCCAAGTATCCTGAAAACTCATGTTAAATATTTCATTACTTTAGATGCCATTCCAATAGCCTGAAGTTTGGGCTTTGTCTGTTTTTTGCATTACTTAAGATAAACATTCCTTACACACATCAGCAGCATTTTTCTGAACAGGTGACCCACTTCCACCCCTCCCCAATTTTGCAGGGGCTAAAGCCCCCTCCCCTCCATCTATCCAATCCCAAAGATATTACGTTTAAGTCCCGCTGAAATAAGCATCTGTTATACTGGCTCTAATGTGAGGCTACATGTAAACCGTTAGAGATTTTAAAAGGGAGATCTAAGAAACGCAAACCGCGCGCAGGAATGCAAGCACGGGAGCGCGTTTCGAAAGAAGCAAAAAGTTTGGGCTATCAGGTGCGCTGGCGCTGACGCTACATTTAAGGTCTTTATCTTAAAAGCCCCCGTTTGATTTTGTTTTCCACGGGGAGGATGAGAAGGAAAGCCTGCCTGCTTTCGCTCCCCCGCTTTTTTTGCTGAGAAGCGAACAGCAGCAGGAGGAAAAAGCCCTTGCCAGCCACAGATGGACTCCTGGAAGGCGGTGACCCGTGCAACCTGCGAGTCAATAATTAATGGGAACCTCTCGTCTTACCGCACCATCCCATGCGGAGAGGCGCAGCCGCGTCCGACTCAGGCAAACCCCATCCATCCCCCCGTTAAGTGATCTTAGCGGCGAGGAGAGCGGCAGGCGGCAGTGGCAGATGGCGACGCCGCCGGAGAGAGCAGCAGAGAGGGCGAGGGAGGGAGCGAAAGGACGACCCCGAAGGTACCGTGCCGAAGAAGACTTTTCCGCCGCTCGTTCGCTCTGCATACTCGGCGTCTCCGCTTTGTTTATAAGTGGAAAGTATTCAAAATGGAAACCTGACTCCAATTCTAAAAATAGCCGAAACCCCGCGGGCTGAGGAGCGAATCCCCCACGTGAAAAGAGGAGGAGGGGGAAGGGGAACGAATACCTCGTTTTTTGGTCTCCAAAAGGCAACATGTCAAACAAGAGATGAAGATATCCAGGCGAGCTGCTTATCTTCGCATCAAATCTTGGCAAAGCGACATCCCACCGCTCTTCTCCCCCACAACCCCCCAAAACCCCACCCTCGGATTAGAGATTACCAGGAAGCCACCAAAAAAAAACTTCTTGTCCTGGCGGCGATGCCTCGGAGCGCGTGCAGCGTAGCGCTGCCCTCTGGCGGGGAAGAGAGGCCGCCGCGCCTTCTAGCCCGCAGCATCGCTTTCCTAACCCGTAGCATCGGGAGGCAGCGGCGAACTTCGCGCCAGCGGGTCGCGCAGATCGCCTCGAGGCGGGGCTCCGCTCCAGCCCCATCGTTGCCAAGCCAAACGAGGAAGCGCCATGCCTCCAGGGTCCTAAACCACCGTAAGCGCCACGGACTCTGCCCTCGATGCTGTAGGGTTCACTCCTGCTCCACTCTTCCTTATTGAAGGAACCCAAATCCTGTGCTTATACAGGCAGAGAAAAGCCCGACAGCTCTCAGTATGCCCCAGCCTTGCAGCTTGCTGGGAGCTGTAGCGCGTTTTTTCTCTGTTCAAGTGTGCATAAAGTTGTGCCCTAAACGCACGTCCGTCCAAAGCCAGCATCCTGTTTCCCACAGCAAGTAGCCCACCATCGCGCTTCCGGGAACGCTGCAACAGTGGGAACGCACTGGCCTGTCCTTATTTAACCCCACCCCTCCAGCGCCTGGTATTCAATGGTATACTGCTTCGAATACGGAGGCTCCACTTTGCAGTAAGGGGTCACCTAGAATTACCTGCATTGGTCCTCATTGGGTCCTCCTGAGCAAGTCCTGAGTCTTGGAGCTGGGGCGGGGTTGCGTGAAGGTCACTTACTCCACCTTCACTATTTTAACGTTTTCCACCATAATTAAATCCTGGGGACCTTTTCACCCCGAAACCACAAGCCCTCCGCCTCCAATCCTCCTCTGCACTCAATTTTATCTTGCCGTGCACTGAAAAGGCCCTCTCTGTGCAACATCTTCCTTCCTTTTACGTCCTCATTCTCCACATCAGGTCGTTGGCTGCAATTTGCAAATTACTCGAGGCAGACACAAGAGATAGTGCCCATTAGTTTAACGAAAGGTTGGCAAAAAGAGGGGCAAAAGCCGTTTGCAACCCCATGCAATCATTGTTGCTAGGCTGTCCTAAAAGAAGAGGCACCCTTTGTATTATACGGGATCTGCTTAAGAAAAAATGATAACTAAGAACAAAACAGAGACAGGCTTTAATATAAAAGTCAGTCGGTAAACCTCACTGAAACTAGAAGCTGAACGGCACACACATTCGCTCATACTGATTGCGAAGGCAGACTCACAGGTCTCTCCCATGCCTCTTCCCTGGAAAATGACGGATCATTTTCTCCCAAGTTCCCAAGAGTTCCCACCTCTGCAGCCCAATTCCCGGTTAGTCCAGAATGCCGACTAAAAAGTTATTCCAAGAGTTAAACAGGTCTCGCTCTAAACAAGCTCAACCTAAAATTTCCCTCCCCCTTTTCTCAGAAATAAGTCTCTCAGTGCCAGGGCTTGGTTTTATGCAAAAGCTACACTTAGGCGGCAATGCACGTGGGCTCCAAAGTCTGTCCCAGCAAATCAGGCGTGCAGCGCCCATGCTGCGCGCGCGCTTAAGCAGTTTGGCCCCAGTGACTAAGAAAACAAGAGCGTCGGGCTACAGGATATCGTAACAAAACCTGGGCCTAACGCTTTAAAGCAGCTCCGTCTCGCTCTCTCAAATTCTGGCGCCCTTCACATACTTTGGACTGCAAATCCCATCATCCCTGATTACATGGTGCCGGGGGCTACTTTCCACCGTAGCTCAAACCAGTGCAAGGGACTGGGTTTTGGAAGGGGGGGAGGGGAGAGGCGAAGACTCTACCAAGGAACAGTTTAAGGGTATTTCCAGAGCCCGTGGACTGAAGTCCAGTCTCCCGCGAGCCCATGTGGTGTTTGTGGATCCGTTGTGCAAGAACAGTCGAGCGGACGCTCCTAACAAGGCGCGGAAGGGAAGGGTCAAGCTCCGTCGTCACAGCCAGAGGAGGAGAAATCTCTGAGCTGCTGGAGCTGGGCAAGCAAGCAGGCGCGCGAAGCGGCGGCACGGCTTGCACCGCAAAGCAACCCAAGAGCAATCATTTGCATGGGGAACGACGGGCACCGAGACAGAGCGCCTGTTTGTCTGTGGCAACCCCTCGCTCCGGCTTCTCTTCCAGGGAAGGGGGAGCGAGGCGCTTGCCCCCGCGCTCCTCTCCGCCCCCCGCTCCACCTCCGCCGCTGCTGGCACCACGGAGGATGCGCTCCCGCCGGCGCAGCGCTTACCTTGTCGCTTTCCGAACAAAGTACGAGCGGGTGAAGTCCCCGTGGTCGTCAAGCCAGGCTTCCACCTCTTCCTCTTGCGCCTGCGGCGGAGACTGGCAGCCGCCTTCCATGTTCCGAGCGTCCGCGTGCTCTTCCTGTGCCGCTGGGGACATCGGCAGGCAGGAGCGGCAACTCCGCGCGCGGCGGCGGCGGCGGCGGCTCCGCTTCTGGTCTGCTGCTGGTGTCGCCCCCGGACCCACCCGCCACCGGCGCCCTCCGCACGGATGCGGGCGCGCGAGGCGAGCGCCCCTCTCCGCCACGCCCGAGGCGCGCTGCCGGGACTCTGGCGCCGCACCAGGCGAGCGCTCCACCCTGCCGCCCCGCCCCCGCGGCCCTGCCCACGTCCTGCGCCTGGCGCTCTCAGGTGCCCGTCCGCGGCGGCCGGCCGAGCGCCAGCTCCACGCCTCCTCCGTGAGCCGAGGCTGCTGGGATCCAGCCCCCGACTCGCCGCCCGGCCAGCTCCACCTTTCGCTCCGTGCCCGCCGCAGCTTCCCCAGGAAGGCACGCCTGCTGCCCGCAAAAGCCCGCGCGGCGCACCAGCGGCGGCCGGCGAGGCTTTCCCGGCCCCCTTTCTTTCTCCCGTCTTTTATCCCGCCGCCTCACAGCGATCGCGTGTGTCTTTCACTCGCGTCAAGGGCGGTTCAGATCTTTACTTCCACAACCTCAGGGGACGGACGGGACACGTGCTGGCTTTTGGATTCCGGTAGTTATTGTACACGTGTGAATGCACGGGATAGAAAACAGAATAGATACGAATATTTTGAGACGCCCTGAATCAGTACTGCATTCGCATTACAGAAATGGCTACAGGGGACGGGAGTGCTTTTACTACCTAGCGTCAAATACCGAAAAGTTCAAAAGTATACCTGGGCTCAACTCAAGTCACATTGTGCGCACATGTGAATGCTCCAAATAAGTAAAAAAAATAAAAAATACACAAACCAGATAAATGTACAATATTCTGGGACTGAATTATAGGTGGGGGAGGTGGAGTTTTGAGTTTCATCTGTAAACATTTCTAAACCATTAGAATAGGAAATTGAGAGGCGCATCAAAGGAGCCCGTTTCTGCAAGCAAGCACTCCTTGTCATGGGAGTCCTACTGGGCTGTTGCTTGAGGCAACAGTACTCCAGGGGCTCAGGGATGTTGTCAACCTCTGCTTCTGAGGCACAGTACCTTCTTTTGGATGGATGGATGGATCTGTAGCTATCTCCCCAAAGTGCCTCCGGGTCTTCTTATCTGGATGATTCAGTGGTATCCATCCCTCTTCAGAGGAACAGTCCTGTAGCAGGGAGTTCCTATATTCATAGCATTCAGTGAAATTCAGGTGCAAAACTGTGTCATGCTTGGAATAACAATTTACAGAATTGGTCTGGAATAAAGAAGTCACAGCAAGCAAAATGCCCCTGAACATGGTCAAAGTACCTTTCTCATACCAAAAGAATAATTTGTGGCTTGTTTTCACAGTTTAGGTAATCAGTTAAAGAGCAAAGCAAATGGCAGAATCTCCAGGTAAGGTTGGAAATGCCCACTCCTTTATGAAATCTAGTGTTGCTCCAGGGTAACTTGGAGCTTTGGCTATGGGTTGGTTTATAAATATAATAAATAATGACCACCTGACCCCCCCTAGTGACCATGGCAGCAGAATCTTCATGTCTTGATGGATAGCAATGGATTGTATGCCCCAAACTCCATAATTAACCCGCATGACTGTAATAGGGGTTGTTGTTCATTTTCCTCACATAGCTGCCCACAGGTACTCTTGGTTCTGCACCTTGAGCATGTTGTTGTTGTTGTTGTTAGTCGCGAAGATGTGTCCAACCCACTGCAACCCCATGGACAACATTCCTCCAGGCCTTCCTGTCCTCCACCATCCCTGGAGTCCACTCAAGCTCACACCAACTGCTTCAGTGACTCCATCTATCCACCTCATCCTCTGCCGTTCCCTTCTTTTTTTGCCATCTATTGTTCCCAGCATCAGGGTCTTCTCCAGGGAGTCCTTCCTTTTCATTAGGTGGCCAAAGTATTTGAGTTTCATCTTCAGGATCTGGCCTTCTAAAGAGCAGTCAGGGTTGATCTCCTCTAGGACTGACTGGTTTGATCGCCTTGCGGTCCAAGGGACTCGCGGGAGTCTCCTCCAGCACCACAATTCAAAGGCCTCATTCCTTTTGCGCTCAGCCTTCCTTATGGTCCAGCTTTCACAGCCATAAATTGCAACTGGGAAAACCATATAGCTTTGACTAGACGCACTTTTGTTGGCAGGGTGATGTCTCTGCTTTTTAGTATGCTGTCTAGATTTGCCATAGCTTTCCTCCCAAGGAGCAAGCGTCTTTTAATTTCTTGGCTGAGCATAATGCACCTCTATACACAAGTGACCACCATATGATGGTTCAAAACTGGACAACAAAGTCAACCTGGTTTCAAGTGAGCAGTTCTATGCATGTTTAGACAAAGTACTAGGGGATGCTGGGCTGTAGGATGTTTGAACCTGCCTGAACATGCCAAAAAGATTATGTGAATTCACTTTAAGTCCTTGACAGAGCTATTCTACACTGAGCAAGCAGCAAAAATTCCATTTACTGAAAAACGTCCCAATAGCAGACTAAAAGTGTCCTCAGAGGGCAATATTGGCATTGATGAGCACACATGGGAGTTTTGCCAAATATTTTTTCTCGGCAGTAGTCTAAAGTTTTCTGATCAGTGGAAATGTAAATGTTTGACAGGTCTCCACAATATTCCATGGATAATTAGTCTCTGACCTTTGTTGTTTTCACTTCTGATACCACTTTGAATTTAATTGGTTTAAAGTGTAACTTTTTATATTGACACATTTTTTTGCTTCTGAAACCATAGTGATTTGGGTTAGTCAATGAAAGATCTGTAGAATAAATGTGGATTTTTGTGTGTATGACTGTTTTGTTTATGGAAATAAAGTTTTTCTTGGGATTTATTTAAAGTATGTGTTATGTTATTGCATTAGCTTGCCTTAATGTGAATATATGGATGATATTCTACAATATGCTTGATATACTTAGGGCAATGGTTTTGTTGCATCTCTGTATTTGCAGTTTGTGGAAGGACTGATCCTGTGCCTTCTGGACTGTGTGTGGGGAGGAGAAGGGCATAGGATTTTTTGGATTCCCAGCTGTGAGGTCAGTGTAGTTGGAACTGCCTCTTGAATGCAATCACCTCTTAAATTACACTAACAAAGTTTTTAAAAGCTAACAATTTACTGCCCTTTTATGGCATTCTGCTCCTTGAGGTGGCCACTTCGTTCTGCCTAAAGGTTGGGCCAGCCTTGCTCATCTGTGATGTCAGTCTCCATGCTCTGAATCAGCCTGGATCAGTGGCACATACAGAGAAATGCTTATGGTTAAGCCAAGTCATCAATATGTAATGAGACAAACCTTCTCACAGTTCTGTATTTTCTCAGCCAGCCTCTCCACTCAAAAAAAAGTGGGATAAGAGTTTCCTTACCACATGACAAGATGGTACAGGCAACTGGCTTACCAATGGTTGCTATATAGAACTCCTGTATTCTTCTGTAACTTACCGTGCTTTCTAGAACATCTGATGAATTGACACCCTGTTGGGAAGCTGTAACAAGCACACATCTTGCACTTGAACTCTTAGTATGCATCTAAAATCGCCCTTCTGTAGCATATCCTCTTTTGGAAATGTGAGCTGACTCTGGCCACCTGCACAGGTAGGTTTACATGAATCTGCTACATGTAAGTGGCCAGCCCAGCACTGTTCATGGAGTGCACATAGAAAAGCAAAAACACAGTAAACTTCGCCACTAACCTGCAAAGATTCACTCGTCTATTGATGTACTTGGGGTCTGAGCAAAGGGCATGATCTCGACTCAGCCAAAGAGTTTGCTTCTTTGTATACAGGGACCATTGAAGGAAAGCACTTGGGTTAGGAGTAGGATTTGCCAATAGCCTTCCGTTCTCCCTTTGTTTTCACTTTTGTCCGGTGATTATTCTTTTGTGAAGACAAAGTTCTTACTGAATCCTACTTATTCTTATCCAATCCTTATTGTGTATAAGAGTGAGGCAAAATGGGGGAGGGCACACATGTGAGCTGTGGGCCTCAGTTGTTTATGCTGCCTCTTAGAAAGTAATGCATGATGGATAAGCAGCCCTGCTAGTTCAAACCATAGGTCTATATAGTCCGGCAGTGTAGAACCTCAGGCCTCAGGAAACCAATGTGGCCTACCCACATTCCTCAGAGAGACATGGACTCCCTCTCACCTCACTCCCATTTCCCCAGCCAGCAATAGTTTGGTGCTTTGCCAGTGTTTGTGTAGTTTTTTTCCCCATTTTCAGAGTTTGAAAAGTCTCTTCTAAAGTTCAAAAACTGGCAGTAAACAGGCTTAAGATAAAATATGCTGGTGTTTTCTGGTATTTTCCCCCTTTCCTCTTGCTTTTGGTCCTGCCCATGACTGGAATGCACTCCCAGAAAGCTGTTCCTGTTTCCTGTGGTGATCAGCCAGATATTTTTGGGGAACCCCCATGCCCCCCACTGTATTCAAATCACTGGTATTTCGTGGCACACCATCTTGGATGCTCTTGTGTCATTTCACCTGAGGTTAAAAGGGTTATTTTGAATGAATATGACATCATTTCACAGATGCATGGAAGGTTTCTAAAATAACACTTGGCTTAACCTTGCAAACAATAATGCAAGGACTAGATAAGCAAGAGAGGCATGGTCAGTTGTATTCTGTGCATAGAAAGGAATTTGCAAAGGGAAAGAGAAAAGGATAGGTCTTGGCTCCAAAACACAAAAGATTTGATTGTCCAGAGGTGATACTGATAGAATTGCACAAATAACTGACTAGTAGTTTGAAACCAAACAGTGCACACTTTGAAAAAGTTCAGATTCAGATAGAATTTTGCCATTATAATTACACTGCTGCTTCGATATGAGCTGGCTCGCTCTGAGATTCGTGGGTGCAGAGATGTTACAGAAAATCAGTGGAAATAACTTGGCCACTAACATCAAGGTAAGCGTTTGGACTTTGTTGCAAGCCTTATTCAGTGTTAGAGTGACCGAGCAGTGTGTGTGCATGTGTGTGCTGCTGGGCTAGTG